GGCGGAGGGAGGGGGAGAAGCAGCCTTCCCACTGAGTGTAAAACCCAAGGCAGGGCCAATCCCAGGACCCTGAGATCATGACCTGAGCTGAAGTCAGACGCTTAACCGACTGAGCCACCCAGGCGCCCCTGGAGATAATTTTTATTGTTACCACGTTGGAGGGTACTACTGGCATCTTGTGGGTAGAGTTTAGGAATACCTAGGCCAGCCCCCCACAACAAAGAATTATTTGGTCTAAAATGTTAATAGTGCTGATGTTGAGAAATCTTGCTCTTTGAAAACAGTTGGGTTTCATGCCTTATTTCTCCCGAAGAGGTGAAATACCGAAGGTTAGCCTCCAAAGTGATGACATTGATTCTTTTAGAATTGGCTTTTCTTTAGTAGCAGCAAATAAGTTAGTCATCACCAGATTTTATTCAGTGTTGTGTCAGGCAAGAACTAGGGATGCAGAAAGGCATTAGACATGGTCTGCCCCCTCAGGGAGTTTAGAGGCTTCTGGAGAAGGTTTAGGAGGAGCTGGTTCCTTCCCCCTGGCTGCAGATGAAGAGCCCTAGATTCCAGGAGCTACTGCATTGCAGAAGTGGCTGTACTCAGGGACCCCCCTGATGGAAGTGGCGCTGCTGACTTAAGGGAGCCTCCTTCACAGCCCCCTCTTCCTTCCCACAGTTACGCTATGCCCACCAAAACCATGGAGGTGTTGCGGCTGCAGGACCAAGGCAGCAAAATGCTCCTGGACTCAGTTCTTACCACGCATGAGCGAGTGGTTCAGGTAGGTACTCTGGGAGAACCTTGAAACATACTTGCCTCTCCTGGTTTTTCTGCCTCTTTTTTCTCCTTCTACCAGGCCCTTCTTTTCCTCTTGGCTGCCCCTTGAATGATGATGTTCTTTAGGGTTTAGTTCTTGATCCCTCCATCTCTCCATATGTAATACCTTCCCTCTATGCAATTTCATTCATTTCCCAGGCCTCAATGACCATCATTATATTCTGACAACCCCCTAACACATATCTCCTAGTCCTGATGGGTTATAATATACTGATAACCCCTACATGTACATCTCCAATCCTGACCTTTTGGTTTAGCTTCAAACCTGATATCCACTTGTTTATTGGACTTCTCCACTAGGATATTCCACAGGTGTCTTACACTCAGCATATATAAAACTAATTGTAGAAGAACTGATGTTTTTCTTTTTCTATAATCCTCCCCACCTTTGAGTCTAATGTTTAGCCCTTCTTTGTCCTCTGATATCCATTCATGCACCTGCTGAGAGCAAAACCCCTGTGGTTTCTGTTGTTTTACTGCAGAGACAGATGGATGACAACCACATTACCATGAGGGTGCCCAGAGTTATTAAAAATTCACACTTAATATCACCCCTTTTTATAACAGCTTTATTGAGAGTTTATTCATATATAATTTACTCTTTTAAAGTGTACAATTAAATGGGTTTTAATATATTCACAGTTGTGCAGCCATCACCACAAACAATTTTTGGACAATTTCATCACCCCAAAAAGAAACTACCCATTTACAGTCACTCCTCTTTCCCCATTCCCCTAGCTTTTGACGACCACTAATCTCTTTCTGCCTCTGTGATTTTACCTCTTTGGGACATTTAAATGGAATTGTACAATATATGGCCTTTTAAGTCTTGCTTCTTCCACTTAGCGTGTTTTCAGGGTTTATCCACGTTGTAGCACGTGTCAGTGCTTCATTCCTTTTTATTGCCAAATAATATTCTAACATATGGACATCACCCCATTTAGATCCACTCAAGAAGTATATCAGCAAGATAATGAAAGGAATGTTAAGGTAGTAACACCTTAAATCTATGCTAACTTTAAAAATAATTAAGTACTGGGGTGCCTGGATGGCTCAGTTGGTTAAGTGCTCAGCTCTTGATCTCAATTTGGGTCTTGATCTCGGGGTTGTGAGTTTAAGCCCTGCATCTGGCTCCACACAGTGTGGAGCCTACTTTTTTTTTTTTTTTAAGATTTTATTTATTTATTTGAGAGAGAGTGTATGCACATGCGTATGGGGGGAGGGGCAGAGGGAAAGGGAGAAGCAAACTCCCTGCTGAGCAGGGAGCCCGCCCAGGTGGGGCTTGATCCCAGGACCCTGGGATCATGACCTGAGCCAAAGGCAGACTCTTAACCCACTGAGCCACCCAGGCGCCCCTGAGCGCGGAGCCTACTTAAAAAAAATAAGTAAGTAACTACTTAACAATCTAGTTTTTAAAATATCAGAAATAAATTATTTGGGGGCACTTCCTGCTCCGCAGGAAGCCTGCTTCTCCCTCTCCCACTCCCCCTGCTTGTGTTCCCTCTCTCGCTGTGTCTCTCTCTGTCAAATAAATAAATAAAA